AGGTTAACTAAAATAATATACTGAAACACCTCCCTGAGTGCCAGGGACACGATAAGCGGTCAGTAAATACTAGTTCTTGCCCAGTGTCTTGTCCTCTGAGGACAGCCTGCAGTCATGTCCTTGTTCTACCCCACAGACTGATGTATCTTAGTCTGGCCGTCCGAGCTGTGGATTCCCAGACTCTTCTTTTAGACAGGACAGCCTTCAGGCTCTCCGGATTTGTGTCACATTTATGTATGAGCTCTGATTCTTAAGAAGGGGGCCACGCAGAATCTGGGAGTGGGAATTTATACCAAGCTTGCAGAAAGCATACTCAGTATTACATTTAATTTGTAATGTGAAAACCCTGTCATTTTGAGAATACATACCACAGGATATAAAATTCAGATCTTCTCAGTTGGTGCTATAAGAAAATCCCTGGTGGAGAAGGGATACAGTTTTCACTTTCGTCAAAGGGGGATGGGTTAAACAAGACCGAAAAAACAGGTTTACAGAGCATCATTTTGGCAAAACATGTGACAGGCATGTGCTAGGAATTCCAGAGATGGATTGGAAGTGGGGAAGGGGGGATGCAGGTATTGATTCCCCTTTCTCTCTGATTTTGGGTGCTGCTTACAGATGTGTTCCATTTTTGAAGACTGATGGAGCCACCCTTCTGATTGGTGTACCTTTTCCTGGGTATGCCCAACTTCAATAAAAACCTTGCTCAAAGGGCCCAGTGCTTCTACTGCCTGCCTCACAAGTGAAAGGTCCTGAGTTTGATCCCTGGCAAATGGTGGCACACTCCTTGGGCACATTCAGTAAGAGGGGGGGCAAGTCCTGAGGGTGCCTCATGTGAGTAATTCAAGGAAAGTGGCTTTCTCTGTAAGTCCTAGCTCGTGCTTTTGCCTGGGTGATCTAGGTTTTCCCATACGAGAATGGAGGGACAGTGCAAGCTGTCCGAATCTCCTTTCCAGACCCTTGCTGCAGTCCCACAATGGGCCTCTCCGCATCCACTCTTGAGCCTCTTTCTTCCAACCATCCTCTGTTCTTGAAGTCTTTACGAAGGAAAATTAGAGCACATTATTTTCATTTCCAAAACACTGCAGTGATTTTCTGTCCAGTCATATTTAAAGAGACACTCAGATGTTTTTATTATGACCAAGGCCTTTCGAGATGTCTGTGCTACCTTTCTGTCAGTCATCATCTGACCCCTCTTTCCACTCCAGTTCTCCGGCTCCCATTTTCCTTGTCGGCCGGCAGTGTCAAATGTGAATCCTTCAAAGGGGCTTTGCACCCACAGTCTCAGCTGACTGGAATTCCCCTGCCCTACCTGCAGGCCTGGTTCTCTCTCCTCCCTCAAGTTTCAGCCCATTGCCAGAGTCCTTCCCCTGACAGCCTTGTTATGCTCTTTCTTTATCTTCACCACCCTGCCTGTCTTTGGCACACCAGCACATTTTTTTTCCTCTCCAGTAGTTACATTTCTCTGATACACACACACACACACACACACACACACACACACACACACACACACACACACACACAGATTTTTTTTTTGTCTAAGGCTTAAACTTTATCGAGGTGAGGGTTTTGCCTGTGTAATTCACTCATGCTTACAGTGCCTTGAAGAGTGGCCAGCACATGGAAGGTACCTTACAGATACCTGGCTGCAGGATCTTTACAAGCCTCTCACTCTCTAAACTTCAGCTTCCACATCTGTAAAATTAGGCTACTAACAAGACTCCCCCTGCTCCTAGGGTTGTTGTAAAGATGAAAGGAAATAATGTAGCTAAGACACCTAGCAGGGTGCCTGGCATCTGCTACCCTCAGAAGCCTTGCTCCCTGAGTTCTAGCTGTAAGCCCTTGTTTAACTTATGCCCACTGAGACCTCTTGAATCCACTGATCATGAGCAAGCAGTCATATTTTATTAAGGGCGCTTTGACAAAGTAGTAGCACAGCCTGTCAAGAGACCAGGTTTTCAACATTATTCTGATGTTTCTCTGGCTAAGTGTTAGCTGTTCTTTGTGATGGAGAATAATTAATTGATTAATAGAGACCGTGTGCTGCTTTGGATCATTCTTCAAAAGATAAGGCAAGTGGATTTTGTGTCTAGAATGAACAGCCTGCAGGACACTGCACCACGATCATGCACATAATAAAGGAAAACACAGGAGCCTGACTCTTGGTCCAGGAGACAAGGATGGGACCGTGGAGAGTTGAAGCTCTCCACTGTAACTAATGGGGCCATTGTCCCGGGGCACCTGGAGCAAATCAGGATCCATAGAAGCGTTCCCCCCCGCCCCCAAAAAAAACCTACTTGAAAGGTTCAGAAGGAAACGGGACCAGTTTGCTTTAAAAATCCCAAGTTCACAGAGTGAAATAGCACGCTCGGGGAGGCTGAGGAAAATAAACAGGCAAATTTTGGGTAGAGAACCTTACTGATTAGTGAAGATATGTGCTTGAAAGGCAGGGAGAACCAATTGTGGTGGGAGGGAAGGAGGGAGAGGGAGAGGGAGAGGAATAGGGAGGGAGAGAAAGAAAAAAATGTATGAGTGGGAAGCACAGCCAATTGTGGTAGTCCTTTCGTCACCCAGGTAACAATATCCTGATCAGAAGAAAATCATCTAGAATTTTAGCTACAAGAAAAGAAAGTGTTCCCTTGTGTTCCCTTTTTAAAAAAATTTTATTTTATCCCTTTTCCCTTGTGATCTCAGGAAGAAAAGATGGAACAAAATTGGGGAAAAATCAAAGAAAAGCAAATCTTTTCCTGTCCCCAACTCCTGAAAAATAGTTCCCTAAGTAGGTCACACACACTACCAGAAGCATAAAAGAGGCATGAGTTAGGTAGATCTTGTTCGGAGGTGGTGGCCTGGGACCAGAGAGGAAGTCCCTGAGCAGCCACCCTTTAATCACGTGACTTTGGGTCTTACTCTTCCAGGAGGGTTTTCAACTAGAGGAAGTAGCCTGTAGATGCATTTTCAACTCTAGAGAATTCAGGGCTAAGCACAATTTAAGAGTTAAGTGTGTTTCTCTGGGAGAAAAGAGGAATTCAGTTGAAATACAGAAACAATAACTGATGATGGTGCTTAGGTAGTTTACATCTTTGAAAGTTGTTATTTATTTCTCCGTATCCTTCACAGACATAATCCAATTTCTGTTTTTTATTTTAATAAAGAGACCTTTAAGATTATTAAATAAATATAACAAATGAGTGTTTTTATCTCTTAAAAATTAACAACACATTCTGCCATCCCTAACTCCAGAACCTTCCTTCAGCATTAAATATTTTTATCTTTTTGGTACATAATTTTCCAGTACTTTTTGTTCCTACGTGTTTCTAAGCACATATCCATAATAGAGTATTTGGGGTTTGGGGTGTTTTTTAATATACCATTTCATACTGTACCCTGAAACCTGCTTCTCCCTCCTTAACAATTTGTCTTCAGGCTCTGTTAATTAGTCCAAAACTAAGTCATTCTTTCTATGTACTGCACCGTAGTCTATTGCATGAACATGTTGGTGTTTATCTCCTCCCTTGACAGTGGGTGGACAATTAGGTTTTTCCCAACTACAATACTAAACAAACAAACAGAAAAACAGCTTTAGGAACCATAAACTTCACATACCACAAAATTCACCCCTTGAAAGTGTACAACTCAGTGGTCTTTAGTTTATTCACAGAGCTGTGCATCAACACCACTAATTCCAGAACACTTTTGATCAACTCGTAAAGATCAGAATCCTACTTAGTAACCACTGCCTTCCCTGTCTTCTCAGTCTCTGCAAACACCCATCTACTTTGTCTCCCTGTGGATTCACCTGTTCGGAACATTTCATGTTGACAGGCTCAAACCCTATGTGACCTTTTGTGTTTAGCTTCTTTCCCTGAGCCTATTGTTTTCAAAGGTTGTTTAGGTTGCACCATGATCAGTGCAGCTGACCCTCTGTTTCTGTAGGGCCTGCATCCTCAGTCCAACTACACATCAACAAAAGTCAGAGAAAAAATTATGTCTGTACTGAACACATTTATACTTTTTTCTTCTAATGATTCTCCAAACAATACAGTATAACAGCTATTTACATAGCATTTACATTGTAATTTGGAGGTGGTTTAAAGTATATAAGATGGTGAATGTAGGTTATATCAAATGATATGCTGTTGTGATTAAGGGACTTGAGCATCTATAGATTTGCCATCTGCAGGTAGCAGTAAGGGTGGGACTGAACTTTAATTTGGCTGAATACTATTTCCTTGTGCAGATATACCCCATTTTGATATTCTCTGTTTAGCTGGTGGATGTTTACATCCTCTCCACTTTTTAGTCATCGTGAATAATAACACCCTAAACATTTGCGTACAAGCTTCTGTGGAGGCGTATGGTGTAACTTTCTTGAGTGTATTCTAGGAGTGGGGTTGCTGCATGAGAAGGCAACTTTATGTTTAACATTTTGAGGCACTTTCACACTGTTTTCCAAAGTGGCTGCACCATTTGACATTGATATATTTTGGTACTGAATATCACGCCCAGCGCTTTTGCACTGAGCTGCATCCCCAGCCACTTTAACTTTTTTTTTTTTCTTTGAGACTAGTTCTTGCTAAGTTGCTAAATTGCCTGGGCTGGCCTCAAACTTGCCATCCTCAGCCTCCCAGACTGTTGGGATTGCAAGCATGCACCACTATGCCTAGCTCCATGAATATATACTTTAAAAAAAGAAGTAACACCTCATGGGGCAATGGGTATGCTTATTTTCTGGACACCATTAACCATTTTTGGAGCAGGCTGAAAGACACACTAACCCAGCATTGTCCAGTACAGTCTTCTACCAAATGCCTGAAAAGTGACTACTATGAATGAAGTGAATTTTAAATTAAATTAAGTTTACTGTTTTAGATAGCATGGTACATGCCCCTTTTGTCAGTGAAAATTCATAGTACCCAAAAAAGGTTTCTAGAAAGGTAGTCACAGATAGATTCTCCTTATTGTGTGCAGTCTGCTGCTTCAAATGAGCTCTTATTACAGACATCATACAGAAAAAAAAAAAACCAAAACTTCCAGGCGTCAAATCAAAACCACAGTATATTGAAGTTCAGGTAACTCCCAAATTTGTAAGAATGTGTTTGGGAAATTGTCATTTCATGTATTTCTTTTCAGCTCACTGGATTATGGATTTTTTTTTTTTTTTTTTTTTTTTTTTTTGGTGTTACTGGCGATCGAACTCAGGAGCTTGCACTGGTGAGGCAGGTGGCGGCACCTGTGAGCTAAATCCCTGTCCCACTTACAGAATTATTTTTATCGTCTTTTTTCTGATTATAAGAGCAGTACAGTCAGTGTAGAGATGTAGGAGAAGAAAATAAAAAGTGCCATAAAAATTATGGCTAATTTCTCGGATGTATATGAGTATGCATGCACTTCTGTATGCATGTGTATGTGCATGTGTGCATTCGTATGTATGCACATATTCATGTATGTGCATGGACTGTTAAAAATTATTCAGTGATAATAAAGCATGGCAGGAGGACTACTCTTTATCATCAGATAGGGATTTTGTAGTTAGAGCAATTGGGCTTCATATCTGATACAGAATTGGCAAGTAGGTGTTTGTAGCTAAGGTGCAGGGTGAATTCAGTGGATGGAGAACATCGGGGGTGAGGTGGTGTTTCTGGATAGACAGGGTGCTTGCTGAAGACGGGCCAGTGTGCTCACAAGTCACCCAGGCATGGAGGGGGAAGAATGTGATCAGGTACTGAGGATGATCAGCTATCAAGGCTAGGTTTCTTGCTAAACGGGCTTAAAAGGGTTTCTTTAGTGAAATTGGATTGTAAAGAACCTGCACAGATGTGACTAGGAGAAGGTTCAGGAGCTTAATTAAATTTTGGTCCATCGGAGGATCTTTGTCAGAACACATGCAGTTCATCCACATTTCGCCTAGTCCCAAAGCAGAAGTGACATTGGGATCAATCTTGTTCCTTCCTCACAGATCCTCATAGTTCCTTTGATTTTTATTTTATTCACTTCCTGAGTGCTGACTGTATGCCAGGCCTTTCTTCAGTGA